TCAAGTACTAATCATCATATTTCAATGAGACTTGCGACATAGATCTTCTAGGACTATGCAGAGACTTGATTAATTTTAGGATAAATTATTGTGCATATTAACTACTAATTTGCTTAATTAGTTAATTTGTCCTAAGAACCACTCATTGAATTTTAATGAAACATTTAAAGAGTGCTCATCACATTTCAATGAACCTACATGTGTAGGACTATACACCATATTAGTTTTGGTAAATATTTATGCTTCTTAATCACCTAATTAACATAATTAATTAATACTGATATCTCAAGTATTGATCATCACATTTGAATAAAACTTGGTACATAAATGCTCTAGGACAATAGACAGCCTGATTAATTTTGGGTTAAAATCTTTTCATATTAATTCTCTTAATTAGCACAATAATTAATAATTTTTTGGTTCTAATCACATTTCAATGAAACTTGGTACATAGATATTACATTACGCAGATCTTATTACTTTTACATTGCGCAGACCTTATTAGTTTTACACTTAAATGTGTTCATATTAGTTACCTTATTTGCATAATTAGTTTTCTGCATTTCCATCAATATCTCAAGTTCAAGTAATTTTGAATTAATTTTTAATGTGTCTCCAATACTCTCAGCACACTGGAGTTCTTTCTAAGCTTTCTTTGATTTTGTTTTGATATTGTATCTCAGTAGGTCCTTTATCCTGCTAGACCCATGTACTTTAACATTGACTTGACCAGATAAGCGTTAAGGCGCCAAAGATACACTATCAGATTGTTAAAGATTATTGGTGGAGACATGCATGGTTACTCCAATGAATGCAGAATGTTTTTTTTTTAATTACAGGTCGTAGATTGTTCAGCTCCCAAAGTGGTAAAGCCAGTTCAAGTCGTAAACTTGCTGTTGGTGCTCTCTCTGCTATTACTGCAGCAGGAGCTGCATATGGAGTACATACATTGTATCACAAACCAGAGATTTTATCAAATGTTCACCTTATTGACACAGTGAGTGCGGCAACAGTTGGCTCACCACAACCTTCAGTAAGTTGTCATAGGTCATAGTTCACAAGGCAGTTGGCCAATCATTTCATTCAATATAATCAAAATTCTCATCACTTAGAAATGTTTGCAATTTTTATAATTTAAGTAAATCCCCCAAATTTTGCAAAAATCGCATCCCTCTTTTCCCACATAACCCCTTCTCACTAGTTCGTAACTACAAATACTTTTTAGTTTCCTGGACATGTGAAACTAAAGCATTTTACAGTATTTTATTGATCCATGTCATGTGATTACATCAGGTGATCTCCGAGACCAAGAACCATGCTGTGTATATATGGATTCATCTAAAACCGACAGCTAATGCCAAACTATGTGCCAAAGTAGTTTCCAATATGAAATTCCATGTGGATGCTGTTGTACCACCAGATATGAAAGATGAGGAAGATGAAGTCATTGCTGGTGTTGCCTTTGGACCAAACTTTTATGCTAAGGTATTTTTATCTGACCAATCCAATTTTTCTCAGCAAAAATGTTGATGCGAATAATTTTGCTGAAGACAACTGTGAAAGGATAACATTACTATGTATTGTAGTTGGTAATTTATTGAACAACCAAAAGTATGTTCTAAAGTTTGTCAAAAATTATTTTATCGCTTGCTGGTTCCAGATTGAAAAAAATAAATATTACTAGATATTATTTGATGATATTAAATGTGCTGTTAGACTGATTTGGATGGCTTAAAACGGTCCACTGTCAATTTAAATATGAAATTATTTATGTATTTAGGTTGCAGATAAGCCTAGACACAACTTTTCTTACCATGAGCGTAAAGGCCCTCTCGGTGAGCTGCCAAGTTCAGGTAAGCCATGTTTAGTTTTATTTGTATAATTATTATGGTTTCCCAGTCAAACTACTGGATTTATGGAGATCTGGGGGAGGCTGGTGAAAAAATCAAAAATTTCTGTTTTCCTGCCAATTTCAGACATTTGGAATTTTTCTGTGGTGGAAAGCCGAAATATTCTGGGTAATACTGTAAAATAAATTGTGACATTCTGCATCTTGCAGCATTATATACTGATATCAAATGACAAATTAATGTACTGTATTTGCTCTATTAAAGTCACATCTTCAATAAAAACAGTTGCATGTGCTGTATACTGAATTATTAAAATAATTATTATGACACCCATCATTTGCAAAGGTGCATGTGCTATTATTAGAGCAAATATGGTTTACACTAAGTTTTGTGAAAAGTACAGTATTCTCATAATTATTTTTCAATACATGTAATGTGCATTTACAAATTGTTTCATTATAACTATAGGTGGAGACATTTTCATCCATGCCAAGAGTAACACGTTCAGTAAACTGTATGAACTGACACAGCGCATAGTCTACCATCTACCACCAGGCTCTATTGAAAGTATAGAAGACACATATGGATGGGTCTACAGGAATGGCAGAGATCTTACAGGATTCATTGATGGTATGACATATGACATCTTTATATTGTGTGTTTGTAGAAGCCAATAAAATTGTATAGAAATGCATCTGCTAGTTATTCTGGATCTTCCTATTGGGACCACAAACATATTTACTTCATATTTATAACAATTTATAAATTTCACAATTCAAACTGAATCTGTGCGGTAGTTAGTTCTTTCTTCTTGGACTAAACTATTTTCTGCATGTCTCTTAGTGTCATGGAAAAAAGTTGTATTTTAGTGATCCAGTATTACAGTAATTTTTGATGTGTGTGCACTTCTATTGGGAATGCACTTCTCATACAATATATTTTAATAATATAATATTGCATGTAAAAATATGTAAAAAATAGAAAATGTTTGTATCATTTCATTTTTAGGGACTGAAAATCCTGCCGATGATGAGAGCAGATATAATGTGGCAGTAGATAAGGAGAGTGGTGGAAGTTACTTGGTGAGTGTGAAATATGAATTCCACAGATATGCAGTACGCCCTCTATGGCTGTAATTATCTTTTCTGAAAACTTGCAAAATTATGACAACATTGAATGATTGGTCAGTTATTGCATTATAAATTAAAGTCAATTTATTGTTGTTAGAAATAAATCTACTACCGCTAGTCATCATTATTTTTGTTTACTTCCATTTCAGATTACCCAGAAGTGGGTTCATAACCATGAACCAATCAGAATAGAAAAAAGTAAGTGTAAAATCCCATGATTTGGAATATTTTAAATGGTTGCTATGCCATGGTTGCTGTGGTAAAATATCAATATTAATCGCAAACTGCTATTTGTTTCATATGTGTGAGTGTTCAATTTTAATTTTTTTGTAGATAAAATCAAAGAATTGTTTGTTGGTCGTAGTATTACTGATAGCACTGAGCTGTCTCGTAAACCACCGATGTCTCACGTTGCCCGTATGACTGGTAAATATGCTTTTCTTTGTTTTCAAGCTTACAACTACAAATTTATCATAAACAAAAAGTTATGTAATGGTGAAATTCTTTTTGTAACAATTATTGTAGTGAGATGTGAGGTAGGATGTTCCACATTGTATTCGCTGTGATAGTATTGCGTCCGTTCGGAGTCATATCTCAGAATCTCTTGGACTGATTCCGTTCATGTGCCTGGTACTTTATGTTTAACGATTCAATTCAAAATTGCTGACTAGCAGCCATCTTGTTTTTTGAAAATGCTTTGTCAGTTTTCATTCAAACTTGGTACATAGATTATACATGTTAAGATACATGTCCATGACTATTTATTTCGCAATTGGATCAAAGATGTCGACTGGCAGGCATCTTGTTTTGTTTTTATATGCGGTATATGTGGTGTTTTGTTGTAAATGAGCAATCTGTTATATACGCTACCTGGAACAACCCCTCCGCTTTAATATGACGAGCACAAGGAGAACTTTTAAAAATTTAATGGGAAATGTGTCATTTTCAATGACTTGTTTTAATTGGATTAATTGATCGTTATTATAGTTGTAGTTATCAATGTCAGTGAACCCTTTGAATGACGTCACTTACACCGGTCGCCATAATGTTTCGTCGCTGTACATTAACAGTCAGCAAACTAGCTAAACCATCCGCTGTATGGATGTACTTGTCAGCAGACACATTTATTTCATTTACTACATACTTCAGCATTATAATTAACAACACTGTACAACAAAAAACAATATTACATTAATGGCAATATTTTTCTGGTTTTTGCTGCTAAAAATTTGGTTTTTTGCTAAATCCACTGAGTAGTTCATTGATAATGGTTATGATCCAGCACCTTTTCACCACCAGTTCCCTCTTTTCATCTCAAGTTCACAAAATACTTCTGTTTATAGTCTGCACTCTCTTACAAAAGATTGGGACAGAAATATCCAAAAATGTAAAAACTGAAAATTGACTCTTTTGACATTTTTTTTCGTTAGCTCCAAAATTAGGGTTCATTTCCAGAAATAATGAAAAATGTAAAGAAAAATGTGGATGAGAAAGTCTGGTGGTGAAAAGGTTAAATCTGACAGTTAGTTTAAAAGTTGCTGGTGGTTTTGAAATGTGTCACCTTTCATAATTTTTATTGTTTTTTTTCTTCAAAAAAGTGATAAGCAAGACATTGTTCATTTAATCCAAAATTTTCAAAGAAAATGATTGCTTTCTCTGTGACCCTTTTCTTTGGAACCATTCAATCATTAAGGTTGATGGCTTTAGTTTATCATGTACTGTTATTGTTATAATTACAATACATAACAATTTCTACTATTGTACCACAGGTGGTAATGCTTTTCAGCAACCCAAGAAATTTGAAATAGTACGTCAGTCCCAACCCTGGGGTTCAGTGTCTGGAGACTCTGGACTTTTTTTCATAGCATATGCTGCATCACCTGAGAATTTTAATTACATGCTGGATAGGATGGTTGGTGCAGGTAGGTTTCACTCTAATGTGAAAATAAATGAATGTAATTGAGTCTGCTTTGTAAGTCACATGTTGTGTGTTTTTTGTTTGACAGTTTAATCTTCAAATTTTGTGGTACGTCCCATTCAGTTACATGACAGAAAATTATTGTTGGAATAGAAAGTGGAAATCGATTCAGCTTAACAGTACAACATGAACAGCATGCATTTATTTATTATTAGTTATGTGTGGTGATTTACTGAAACATTAATTGGGAGCTTACCAAAGGTACAGCCGGATCTGTCATTGTCAAACAGGTGGCTTGTGTTCATCAACTTTTGTGACTTTTGCATTTAGAGTAATCAATGTCAACCATGTTTATAATAACCTTCAGCTGTATTGATTTTCTTTGAGTTGGTGTGTTAAGCACTTCTGAATTATTGACTCATTTAATTAAAAATACAATTGGTGTCACTATTCAATTGTCAAACAATTGTAAAATATTTGCTCTAATGATTTTGGAAATGGTAATGCAAGTGTATGATTAGACACAGTGATTCCAATGCTTCAACAAAGTTATTTTGTGTATTGATCAATCAAGTTTGTATCTCATTTATAAGTTCAAAATAAAATTAATTAATTGTGATTTTCTCTTCAACAGACAAAGATGGTTTCTCTGATGACATTATGAGACTGACCAAGTGTGTGAAGGGTACATATTGGTATGTTCCATCGGAACAAGAAATGGCAAAGCTGAAATAAACATTATGCATACAGTCACAATTGGTGAAGGAGCTCAAAATTGTGTATTTGTATTTGCACTATAACCTAGTATCATTGATGGGACAAGACAAAATATAACTTACTTTCATTGTAGTCATACATCAGTTACCGGAATGAAAGATATGTTGAGGATAATTTAGAACTATAATTCTTCTATTGTTAGTTAATGACATGATAAATAAAATTGTAGATTTATTAAAAATGATGCAATAATACCAGTCATACATTGAACTTATTTCTTTGCCTAGACTAGACTAGACAATGCTTAACTAAAAATTCAATTTTTTTCATCGCATTTGATAATTTTCAGTCATAATGTTTGTATTTTGAGAATAGGTGATGACATGTTTGAAAGTAAGGTTTTGTCTGAAAATGATTTCCTGTTATGTATCAATTTCATCAGTGTGTCATTGTGGTCTGCGTACTCACTTATGCTTCCAAAGATGTGATAATATTCATTTGCAGTGGATGTTTGCATCTACATATTTCATTTAATAACAGACATTTAGCAATTATGTAACAATTTCCAAATAAATACTCTTGCAAATACTCCTAGTCAATAATGTGAAATTTATGTAAAGAATAAAGTCATCATACTCAGACTAGTCTGGATATAAAGTCCTCCTTGCAATAAAATGTCTGCCACAGTGAACCAAACTTCACAACAAACCCTCTCTAAGTAAATATGTTGGTGGGGGGGGGGGGGTGAAGGCATTAGTGAGTCCTGTCAACAATTCTGCACAAAATTCATCACTGGGAGAGCGGACCATGTCCCTATTTTTAAAATAAAATTTGCTATACACGTGTGCTTGAGAAGCTGTTTATACATTAAACTGAGACAGGTGAGCTCTGTATGCCATATCGGCATGGTTACCATCTTGTATTATATTCATGACCAACAGCATGTACCAGATAGCTCACTAGGCAGGGTGTCTGGCATTACTTGTGAGAGATTGAGTTTGCAGCCATCCTTTGTAGTTTCTTTTTAGAACAGTACAACTTGGCCAATATTTTATCTTTGTACTGTCATCTTGTCTGAAAACCCAGGACAAATTATATGAAAAAAGATTTGAATTGAGGAAACTCATCAGATTCTGATACTGTGTATATAAAGTTCAGTAATGGAGCATTCTAATTGGCCGAGACGCACCTGGTGGGTTTTAAATGTGGTTATTGGTATGAATTAAATTGTACACATAGTTCCAAAACTTCTTTATTTCGCAATGAAATTGGCCAATGAATTTTTACAGAAGAATTGTACACTATTCTGGATTCTCTCTCCTACAAATTACACAATTTTATTTTTCATTTTTTAGTTTTTTTTATACTGGGACTTCTATTTGATGAATGAGATGAACGTTTGTGGGTTCAACTAGTGCCAGCGATTTGTTTTGCCGCCCTCAACGTCGACAGTTTAGATGTTTGCGTACCTTACCAAGGTTTACAGAGAGGCGGGGGGCTCTACAATATAATTTCCGCAGTGCCCATAATGCAATCATAATTGATGCAAAAAGTGATGCCAACATATCAAAATCGTGCTATATGGAAATCTCGGGGGGGGGGGGGTCCGAGCTTAAAGCTTGCATTTCACGCAATTAAAATAGACAATTCCTTGTATAGGTCCATCATATGATGACGTAAGCGTAATTTAATCACACGCACATGTCACTATTTGGCCAAACAATTACTATTCTGTACACAAACATTTTTTGTTTACGATCATTGTACAAACAAACAAATGATTAACATTAATACTCGTAGTTCTCTATACTGTTTACATATGTATAGAATGCGTAGATTGATATAACTACCATTTGAACTATCCTCTGTCTCATTGTATAGCCCCCATTGAGTATGTAATATTTAAAAAAACACGTATACACGTATATCTTTGTTCGTCATTTGTTTTCATGGGTGAAGGCACTGGCACACACGGCATTAACAAAATATAAAATCTTCCGAACACTGGCACGCATGGCCGTAACATTATCACACCATTTTGTTATATTAGCTTCACCCATAACCAAGTATGTACAAGTTTTCTTTGTAGCAGAGGAATACACATTACGTTTACACACGTGTATATTGTTAACAGTAATTGTCATTATTAGTATTTGACGAGTACGACAATGTACAATGCTTCACCGTGATCAACCTCAGCAAAGTAAAAAGGGTTTACTAACGAAAAACAAACTTTTGCAAAGATATATTAAAAGTCTATGATGTCCGTCCTCTATCGGCGACCGAGTTGAGCCCGACTCCCTCCTCTTTTTAGTGCGTTTACTTGTTTATTCGCCCGAGAACCGCCACCTGATGCCATGGCCGGTGACACCCCTCTTCGCCTGGAGTCCTTAGAATTCAATGGTACGTCGACAGAGTCATCATTCTTCATTTTGTTGTCTTTGCCTTTCAAGTTTCCAGTTTCTTGTGATGGTTTCGGTAAAACAGGCTTAGGATTGAGTCGCTCTGTGGGACGACGATGTACAAGAAACGAAATAATTAAATAATGTCATCAAGATTCCTGATTGTTTTATTCTGTATTAAATTATGTCAGAGATGCTCTTAAGAATAATTAATAATTACTGCATGTTTTAACTTGACTATTTTTTTTAAATAAGAACGAAATATTATGCAATTGAAATAAATTATATAATAATACAAATCATAATTATATTCATGAATATATGCATAAATTAACGCTTGCGCATTATGGGAACAAACACATGCACCAATAAACCGGTGATGTAACCTCTGACACATCAAGCTTCGAAGCGAAGCCAATGGCATCACCATTTTTATTTTGTTCTCTTTTCGAAAATTCAAGGACAATAATTATATGTTACTTATGTCACGTCACGTGGGTATGATATGACGTCATTCTGAATCGGGAATCATCTTACCCAGGAAATCTTTGTTTGTGTCCATTCCGCGAAGTAATGGGTGGTATGTTAGCCTTTCTTCTTCTCCTTCACTGTCTTCTCCTAAAAATACATTATTGAAAAATCGAATAAAACGGGAAAATATGTGAATTTTAACGAACATGGTCACTGCACAAATTTATATTCACGTACACAAAAACCAAAACAAGATTTTCTACAAATGAACTTAGTCATCACATTCTTAACTATATATAATACCAATACGAAATACTAAGATGTGACAATAAGGTATGGCTCATTCTGGGGGAGGGGTTCTAAAAACTACTGCAAAAGTAGAAACTTCGAGAAATGTGTCAATGCACGATTGTCAATGCACTCCAATAGTCCGATCCCAGTAAAAATACTTCCAACTCTTATCAATCCAGCTGTCGTCCCAGTAAAAAAATAGTCCCACTCTAATAGGTACTTCCAACCCTCATAGCTCCACTCGCAACACCCGGAACAAAATGGTTAAACCCTAACCCGCCCTTCAACGCCCAATATTCCAGCCACCACCTCAGCAGAAAACTTAATTCAATCCTAATACATACTTTCAACCCTCAATAGTATAAATGCAGTCCTCTCCGTTAGATATTGTTTACCGTAATCAGCTGGGTTGGTTAAAAGATGCATCACATTGCCAGTCTCATCGGACAACTCCACCATATCTATCGTATAAAATATAAACATTAGTTCTGTCGTTACCACCATTCACAGTTGATTTCCATCTAATGGAACCAGGTTCCAAATGAATATGATGTCATAAACCACGTGTTTATTATCACACAGACTTGAACATCACTATTGATACTAAGACATACCTTCGATATCACAGTCACATCGTTCTTTTATATTGTGCAGCAGTATCGCATTCCGACAATTTGGATTAAAAATTTCACTTTTTCCGTCTGTTAAATTGACAAAAATACATTGAGTTACAATTGTGTTTGATGATGCGCTACAAAAGATTACGTTGGTATATAGATACACGTAGCTTACTAAATATTAGATAGGCTACTAAAATGTGTGTTTGTAGATAATTTACTAAATCGATGATCTACTAGACATTAAGTTGGTAGATGGTTTTAAATTACTAAATACTGAAAAACACATTGAAATAGCTACATGTCATTTTAGCGAATTTGACTCAATACATGAATTAACAAAATCTTAATTTAACTAAAATACCAATAATCTCATTGTGAAAATATACTTTATTCTAAATTAGCGACATCTTGAATTACAGGTTAGCTAAATTTACAGTATTACGTTGTTATATAGATAGATCTACTAAATCGATGATCTACTAAATATATAACGTTGGCAGATGGATAAGTGATATACACATGTACAACAACAGAAAAGTACACATTAATATGCATGACCCTTCTTGTGGAGATAAAAATGCCGATCGCTGTTGAAATCTGGGGTGACACTGAAAACATATACATGTACCTAATTTGAACGAACAAATGAAAAGATTACAATTCTCTCAGCACGTACTGGGAGGAGATCGTGCGGAAGTGGGTCCGCTGTGTGCGAATTAAATCACTCAACTTGACTTATTTCGTGACTATTCATTTGAATATTGGATGACTTTCGAGAATAAAAAATAAAGACATAAAAAGAAAGCAATATACAATATCCTGAGTCGTGTTTACATATAATGGGAGCTCTAATGTAATATCCGTTATTAATGGCAGCAATTGAACAAAGGGCCGTATTGGCCGATGGCGAAGCAGGAAGTCATGGATACCCTGGCAAGAGAATTCCGTCTGATTACCCCAACTCCCACCTCAAACCGGTCTCGAAATCAAGTAACCAGTTTGGGGGGGGGGGGCGTAGTTCTCGATGTGTTTAATAACTCCCCAACATTTCACACATGCTTTAAATGTAATATTTCGTATTTGTTACAGGGTTGCAATTTGTATCTACAATAATTAAATCGATATATGTCCTTATAGTTTACTATATGTTACGCGTCGCTTGTCTGCATTCATCTAAGCCGAGAGTATCAGCACATCTCAAAATCGGTTGGATGCAGGCCCCGGATGCAGGCACGTCTTATTTGCTAGTGCAATCAAATATACATCATGATGACGACGTACTATCTTTCTAGATAATAGAATTCTAAACCAACAACGGTATCACCTCAAATTTTAGTGGTTGAACTAGAGTGGTAATTTATGACCCGTGTCCAGGCTATTGAGGACCTCAAATCTGACTTCAGTTGACAGATAAATAGCGGGAATAATTAAGATAACACAACAATTCATCAATGTGTGGTAAATATACTGTAACTAGACGGAATCCAAATTGTTATGTAGCCAGCGTTTTATGAGATTTTAAGTAGCGGAACACCTATTGGATTCGATTAGCAGCGATAAACACTTAACAAAGTCCAACGATGTCAGTCAACAGTTGGAATATGGTGTGACCCCGACTAAAGATTATACCTTTACGCAACACAGAGTCACCGCTGAAGTATCCCAGAATGCAATTGAACAATGTTTTCTTTTATGTCAAAGATATAATAGTTCGTGGAAACTTGCTGTCCTAAAATTATGTTTTTGCTTTTAAATTTAGACAGACTTGCTTCTCACTTCATTTTAAAAAACGATTCGAAAATATCAAACCGCTAAGGTACATACATGTTTATGTTTTTAAATAGACATTATCCCCACATCGTTGAGTCTATTATTGGATTTGATGAATTGGTCAATAGGGTTTTATCCTATCACCGGATACTAGTCATTTTTTGTACAACGAGTTCCCGCCAAAAAATGGCAGCAACAGATTCATTGATTTGCTTGTCCCACCAATACTTAACCTGCTAGAAAGCGCAAGTTGAGGTTATAAGTCGTGTTTGAATAAACGTGACGTCATTTGTGTTGACAACCGTCATAAACAAGTTATCAATAATAGGAGGAAGGTGATTGCAAGATCAATTTCCGGCAGTTGTTAGGAAACGAAACTGTCCAAAGTATCCTGCTTCATGTTTTGAAAGCGACGTAGATCCTGTGAGAGAATTTCCAGATGTTCCAATCTCCATAGCAGCGAAACGGATATTATTAGTTTCTTTTATTCTTACTTCAAAGCAAAGAATGCAGCCAAGGTTCCCGGATGTACTAATCATGTCAGCCAATCAGTAATAGACGTACCAATGAATTGATGTACATGAGAGAAAAAATATTCTAATTTCCAATTCGTAATATTTTCGAAATGAGTATAGGATATATGTTGAAAACGATCGCCACAGTCAGTGTTCATAGTTACACAATGCAAATACAGAAAAGACAAAATCCTCAAGACAACCACACTCATTCCCGGTGTGCATATACAGGAAATTGAATTTGACGTCATCATTGCAATATATATCGTACCCATCGCTGTTATAACTTATACTATGATTCAACTGAGAACTATTAAAGCAATCATATACAAATATGTTTAAACTGTTTCCATTAACCATCACATGACGATGTTAGGATAGAAATGTATACAATAATTATTACAACAACACGTGCGATGACATTTTATAAATATATCTATCTGTCTCTTATGTGCATATTTAAAAAAATACGCGGGACCAGAAAACATGAATTACATAACTTTAGACACGTACATGTACGTACGTATATTGGATGTGGATTTGTTGTGACGTCATCGTAACACGATATTTCACGTGAAAGAAAATTAACAGGAGATTGATTTTTTTTTTTTAAATTACTATTACTCATTACAAAATAAATAATCATTTCATGGTAAAATTGAAGAGACATCGATCTAAATGTTGTATTTTGCAATAATATCCCACAGAGAACAAAGTCATTTGTAGTGCCAGAGTATTTAATGGATCTCCTCTCGGAGAGATCGCTAAATAAAGTACAAACACGAGACAGCTCTGTTGCCATGGGTTACGCATGAACACACAGACATTATTTCAAATAGACGTATATGAACAATTGCATCGTTTTAAGAAAATTCAACTAACTGTCGACCAGGAAAAACGGGTGCGTGGTTTAAGGGGTATATTCACGTTAAAAACTACGCCGGAGTGTATAATTTCAGCAGATTCTATTGAGACACGATTCGACTTATAATGGATTACCGACAAAACTAGACACGTTCTCTGTGCAATGCTATATACATATACAAATACGATGCTAGTGTACATTAGTACATGCCCGAGAGTATATAGCTGTAACCATGGCTTATCTTACCCAGGAATTCTTAGTCCACAATTATAATGGACACGTCCGTCGTAATAGTCACCTTCCCACCCTCACATTCTCCCATGAAAGAAGGATTTGTTGTTAAACTGAACCTCCGAGTGGGCATGTGCCCTCGCAAAGCCAGTCGAAATTAAAAACATTTATTACGACAAAAAGGAGATTAGTGCATTTTGTAGACGGTATATTCTTATTTGTATATTCAGACATGCCCTGCGTTTGAAGAGCAGATCAGTTCATTGCGTGCGTGGGTCTAGTGATGGCAGGGAGTTGATATTAGTATTTTCCGAACGTTACACGAGTACCGTACTACCTAGTTGATTACAAAAAGTATGATATAAAGTTGACAATATATAATGCAATATAAATTGTCAATATTACTGGCTAATTTTATACGGTGAAAAGTGGTATTTTGCAAAACGCTATCAGGTTATTTGCATACACCGTGACCAATCACTCACTGGAAGGGAATTCTGATATCGAAATAAGATTGTATTAACATTAATTTGAAACTTCCATGTGTATTGTGTATTAAATCTCAGACTAGTAATACAATAGTAATAGTAATGTATTACCATGTGCTTGTCTCCAGTTAAAGTTAGTGCCAACATACACAGTCAACACATTATGATCATGTATAGATGATGACACAGTAACTGGAAACACATGGACAACCTGACAACTACTTTACCCAGCCTCTTAAATCCGCCACGAGCTTTAACGAACATCGATCCGAGCAAAACACGTATTGTTTAAACATATTTTATGGACTGTAGTTTTACATAACATAATATGGATTTCCCATGAACCGCATGCTCTATGTAACAGGTTACAATTACCAGGTAGGATTAGGGCGCATTGTCAGAGGTCAAACACTGTTACGAATTAACGACTCCGTGATATACTGTCACAATGGCGTTCCTCGTGACTGGCAACTCGGGGTCCCAGTTTCTCGACCAGCTATGTAACCACGTTACGGCAGGACTGGCGATGGGTAGATATTGGCCGATAAAAACATCATCGTGTTGACATAACGTCCATTACGTACATTCCTGGTAGCATAAACATATTGACGAACCGACTTGGAAACGCAAAGCGTTTTGTAATACACTAAGCGCACGTAATACCACTAAGCGTTAATACGGATAAGGATTTCTTGAATTATGAACACAAAAAACTACTCACCCCCAAATTTGACCGTAATAAACATGGTGCGATGTAATTCGCTGCTCTCACGACGCTAAGAACGTACATTCATCACACACTACGTCGGCAGTTTAGACTGTCACGGCGAAATAGTAGTTGGATTCCATGAATTATAATACCCAGTTATTTGAGACGTAGAGCAATTGATACCCTTGCTTTGGTCGCTAACAATAAAACAGACGGTACCAAAGCAAACCTTCGTGATGGAGTTGTTCACCTAAAATGGGCTAGAATGTTACACTAACACTGGCTTTGGCTATAAGCAATTGAGCGCGTAAGCAAACAATCTCCACACTCAAACAAAGGTCCCACTTATCGTATTTCGATCACGCACAGGCGACAGAATCGATGTAAGAGCTTGGTTGGAAGGGTCAAAGGTTCTGTAATTTTTCCGCGTCAGCCTCGTGATCAATATTACACCGATATTAAGATAATCAGTGATTCGCATGAAATATGAATGTACAACGCCCAGGTGAATATGAAATCATACATATAAACCGCGTAACCATGGAAACCTTGTCGCTAGAGCAACGAGCACACGGTGACTCACTCTTCCGATTTTAACGTCAGGCTGGCTTCAAAGTGAGGCGACAATGTGAGGCAGGTGACACGACACACTCAGGAGACTTGAAAGCCCGGGTTGTGACAGGAATTAACGTCGAGACCAGTTGTGGATACTGTTGAGTTGACAAGGTCGAGTTACGAAAACAAGCAGCGTATGACGTATGATAGAGAAGCCAGGCCAAGATTGTAGTATAGGCGTGTAAATCAACACACATTGACACTGCCTTGATGTATTCCAATTATTGCTCCCATAATGACAGCGAACTGACAAAACGAAACATTTAAAAGCTATTACTATGCGAAACGTGTCTTAATGTATAGCAGTATTGTTAATAGCCTGATTGACATGAACACGACGATATTAAAACGAGGGGCCGGTAGTATGAGCTGTTCCCCTTTCACATTAATAGTCCCGAACTACTTTAGTTACGTTATTTACGCGACTGTTGGAGAAAATCAATAAATTACTATTTTAGAAGGACAGCATGAAAGCACGAATGTAAATACCACAGATTGCATGCCGTATGATTCAAAACAGACATTACACAGACAGCGCTTGTATCCCTTGCTAATATAGCTATGAGGACCTGATTACTCGCAACATTTACGGGGTTATGGATACGGTAAGTGGGCTTAAAGGATTATTTACACGTTGCATACAAATAAGATGGAATATAATATTATTTAAATGATTGGAAATTTACCGAATGTAGAAAGCGATATAACGGGAATAAAGTGATTAACGTACAGTGAGCGACGTGATATCTCTTAACATCTATACTCATTATAATCAATGATTAGGTAAAACATTGCCTTTACTCAGTCGTGCTATCCAATGTTCAATTCACAAATAATGTATTATACGTACGTTACCAGTATAATAATATCAGTTGCTTTCACAGTAAATATCCACGTAACCCCCACGGTAAAACAAATGTAGAATAGAATAATAGTAGCACAATAATCCCAATACACGTAATCAGAGAAATGTAAGAATTTCATATTTATTATACCATGTAGGAAAACTCCATGATACTGTGATATAGATGTATTTGCTGAAACGCCAATTTACCACGTATCACATCAATACGTGAGAAATTCAAACATTATTTCTTTGTAAATGCAAACATAGCGGTTGTTTTCGATGGCGTTACTGGTATGTTCACGGGTTAAGTAATAGTTTGAAGTGACCTACTTTATAAATACCATTGAACACAATGATTTGGGTCAATGGTGATAACGTTAGGGACAGAATAGAAGTCATTCGTCCATAATCGTGACAACATAGGGGAACGTGATACACACTATACAAAGTTACGTTGAAGGCAACCATCAGTGTGTGTGTGTGGGGGGGGGGATGTTCATTGAGGCAACTTTTATTTTGAAATGCCCAATCAAATAAAAAAATAGTCTGATAACATGAAAAGATGTAGTAATAGGCGCGTATACTTCAACATTTTTGTCAATTGGTTTTATTCTATTATTACCAGGTTTTTTACACAAGACAGATTGTATCGTATCTCCAAATGAACCTATTTACCTCCACACCATATTGACATGACGCTTTATGCTAATTATTAGATTCAACTATATGGTCTGTGGTTAATTGCGCAAACATATCAATGTGGTTACTACCTTGAAGCTAAGAATATGTTACTACGCAGTCGGCTCATCACATTCCAAGACGAATAAAAATACATGTACCCTATTTAGTATGGGTGAACTCGTAGAGGGCGCGTTTTTAATAAGCATTCCCGCGAACACGTCATTAGGAATCAGAACATCAATCAGGTGTCGTCATTGCGAACTACTTATCATACGATACACCACAAACTGAACAAATCTTAGAGTTTTGATTAATTATATTCTAATACATGTACAAATATATTAGTAAGTATATAAACCAAGCAACAATTTCGATAATTATTAAACATTTTCAGTCAAAGCAAATTTTACCGTCTTCAAAACATTTCAGATGTGTTCATTCTTGGCCATGCGACTCCATATTACTTTGTGTGCAAGCACACGCATTACTGATACATGAAATACATACTGTATTTGAAGTATAAAACTATCGCATCAGTCTGGTAAAACCCGCTTAGCAATATACGTTTGGTTTCAGACACTTAGTCAAAATATTTTTATCAATAAATTCCTTTTGTTCATCAAAGATTTTCAATCTGAATCAAGTAATTATTTTGTTATACATGTAGCAACATTATGATAATGTTATTCAGCAGTATGCTCTAGTCAATGTTAATTCATTTCACATTACCTATAATAATCGATTCAAGTGACTGTGGTTTCAGAGAAGAAAGCCTAGAAAGTACCTATGTGACATCCGAGTTGATCAGGAAATCCTGAGTGCAATTCAATGATTTGCTGAAAACTCAATTCTAAACAAGGAGATTCCAATGCAGTGATTCCATCCATGGTCTGTACATTTCCACAATGAACTGACAAAATAATAATTCATTTAATGCTATTTCAAGACACAAACTGGGTACAGATTTACATATCTCTCTCTTCTTCAGTGTGCTTGTTTCGAGCATTATCACTTGTGCATTTGATACTAATAGGCACCAGTTAGTTGAATTGAGTGTAATTTGTGATTTCCATTTGCGATATTTCCATTTCAGTATTTGCTGGTCCATTCATTCATTTGTTGGATTAATAAGTAGCGGTATATCCAACTGTACATAAACAAGCTCAATCTGATGAATGTTATGTTCCAGAAATATTTAAATAAAGGTCTGGCACAGAACCAAAATGACATCATGTGGTGTTCACTATATTAGTCAATAACAATAGTACCAGTACTAGTCAACAACCGATCAAACAGCATACTTAAAACAGATGATATAGTTAACATTTTGTATGCAAGTTGGTATTTTTCTCAAAGAGTTGATTTCAAAATTGTTATTTTTATTGTTTTCGTGGTATAAGGGACCTTATGAAGTATAAATTATAATCCACAACAGTGAAGTTCAGAATTGTAAACTTACTCAAACCTATACAAAGTTATCGATACTCACTTATGCATAGAAACTGAAACCAAATGTATAAAGGACTTTCCAAGTCTTAATTTATACGTTTCAGTAATTTCATAAAAAACAAAAATATGTCCAGGTTGTATGACTTGTTTATAAAACTCAAAATAAGTTATTATTAAATTATACTTAATAATACAACCTAGACAAACATACAGCCTACATCTCGGCTCTCAAACCATTCTCAAATAGATTATATAAGCGATAAATTTGGGGCCATTAATAACTATCAGGACTGATACCTGTCTATGTCCAAGTTACCAGGATATTATTAAGTATAAAAACTAATTTCATAAGAATAATAAACAAAATCAAATATTCACAGTGACAAAATATTCGGGGTGAAATGAAATACTTGGATAAAATAAAATAAAAGAATTCTGATGCATAATTGTTAAAAATATGTAGAAATGCACTTTTTTTAATAAAAAGCATTAATCAATACATAAAATAGAAGAGTATGACTCTGCCTATCATGGAATATTTTACTAGTAATACTACAAATAACATAACTATAAAAGACTGAGCATGTAACATACAAAAGTCGGGAAAAATATGCTAAGTTTTGAAAATCAATAGCATTACTACTTTATCGTGGATGAGACCATATCCATGTCTGTCACTAAAATGAAGTAAGGTTCTGAAAGAAGTGTCAAGTGATTCCATTCTAAACAAACATAACTGAAAACAGATTTTTTTTATTGCAAATGCATTGCAATCACTTTTCAGGTCTCAACTTGCTTTTGATTATTACAGTGTAAAAAATATATCTAAGACTAAAAACAAATTTTTGCATTACCGGTAATTTATTGTGATAAAAATGTCTAAATAAATAGACTGCCTTTCTACTGTATACATGTGCAAGTTTGTTAGACATGGCTCTGTTGCAACTAAGTGCTTCAATATTGCTAAAAATATGCTTGTAACTACAAGGTTTTAAATAACTTCAGCAAACAGCATCTCCTCCTTGTTTAGCTCAAGATAGTCATGTCCAAATGGATTCATAATAACTTCTGTGGTCAATGTACAAATTAGTCATACAATACAATACAAGCTAGTAAACACTGGCATTTTATTATAAACATATGCACTTTTAATAGAGTAAATATAGTGTAAATTATAGAAAAATGATATTGGTAAATCATTTTGTAAGGCTAAAAAAGAAAAAAAAATTTCTTGTTTTGAGATGGTCCAAAAAATGCAGTGCAGTCAGTGCCAAGCCTTTTTCTTCATTCTTTTTGTTTGTAAATTGATGCATGTGCTGACTGGAAACAAATCCTTTAGCCCAAAATAAGAGTGGAAAAATCTGTTCAGCAGACATACAGCATTGCATCCACCTCAAAAGACACATCATACAATCTAACTTTACAATCCAGTTCATGAAGCATCCAATAATTCTTGCAACTGCTATTTCAAATGGTATATTTTACTGTTCTTCTGGGAGTGGTTCGAAGTTTTCTTTTTATGGTAGTACACCTCAGATTGTAGTCAGTTATTGAATGTGTATGAAGTTTTTTATAATTTAGTTCTCGTTTCAATCCCTTGGCTTTCTTCGCGGGTGGTGGTGTGGGCGTTTCTTCTAACATTTTCTTCAAAGGTGTCAATGATGCAGATAAGATGACATCAGGGTCCATGGGTTTCTCAAGTACTTTGATTGTCTTACTTTTCTCTATGGATTGTTGCATCTCAACTGCTTTCGTTGTTCTTTCCAGTTTGGCTACAGTGTCTTGCAATGACTGAAAAGAAACAAGATTCTACTATTGGTAACTACCAAATATTGGTCTAGTCAAAGCAGATCTTTAATTAAAGGCAGTTAAAAAGTTAAAATCACATCTCCAATAGGGCATATACAAACTGGATTGGAGTCTACAGAATTCTGCTCACAAAATCACATAAGGTAACTTGTGGTAACACCAACTCTCATAAAATCCAGCTAGGATATAAGTTGATTACACTGAGATTTGTTACCAGGACTTGTATGTGTGGCAATGAGGATGCAACAGCAAATACAGAGGTATTCTTTTTACATTTTATATTTTTTTATATTGAATATGAATGATTTTAATAAATGGACTATAATACAACATTGTGTACAATAATGCTTTCATCACCAACATTACTTTACATTATTAGAGTAACACGTATAAACATATATATATACAATAAAAAAACACAATTTAAAAAAAAAAAGAAAGCTCAGGAAGAACTCTGGTATGCTGAAGGGTATTGGAAGCATGAAGTACAAATAAGGTCTAAAGGAATACTGTATTTGCTATATTAGAAGCACATCTTCAATACACATAAAGCAAAAATTTTGTTTATTACAAAATCATTGAAATGCATCTTATTTTGACTACAGACTTAAAGTAAGCACATGTGCTTCTAATAGAGCAAATACTGCATTTAAAAATATAATTGGTTTGACAATTATAAATATTAATTGAAATATTAGTCATATATGATGACTTCATATTATGGTTATAAATCTTGTAGGACAACACAATTATAGCACCATTTGCATGTCCCTATCTGCAACAGTGCTTACAGTTATGCATATTGAGGTCACATGACCAGATATATTCATCTAATATGTCAGTCATGTCACATTGTCAGATGCATTCACTCGTTGCATGTTACTGCATCAGGGTTCTCCCCAGGGCTTTTTAGCGCCGAGGTCCGCGGCGCTATACCTGTGAATCTCGGCGCTTCACTTGGGACCTCGGCGCTATGTGTTCCCACCTCGGCGCTTGATTTCATATTTGACATGCCAATATCAGATGTGAAAAAGCTTTGTTCGCCACGCCGGTCGGCCCCGACCGTCACTCAAAATTAGTGACCACCACGGAAATGCTTCCGACGTGGACTATTTTCTGATTGTTGGTATAATTACGTACCGACCGACATGCATCCTGCC